AGCTTGAAAAAGAAAAGTAAAAATACAAACTTCAGTCTGTGGCTGCTATCCCCTAGTCAGAGGCATGCAGATCCCATAGACAGATTTTCCAGGACACAGAACTGAACCAATAGCAGGTTAATAAAAAAGAAATAACTTTTAATATCAAAATAATACTCCTGTTGCAAGCGTAATAACTAGATGGAAAAAGTCACCAATTAATATACTCAGGGGGACTCCCATGGGCCAAAATTTAGTTACAAAAGAGAGGAAGCCCCATTTCTAAATGCACAGACATCAGATCCAGTCCCAAACCATAAAACAATAAAACCTAACAGATTTATTTAAACTTTACCCTACTTACAGCTGGTGAAGAGTCTTTTCTTGGAGAGAGAGAGACATGCTGACTCCCTCCCTCAGTATCTAGAGTACAAACTGGCCCAGAGACAAAGGAGGGGGAAAAATTCCTTTGTCTCAGTTTGAAATCCCTATCAGCATTTCTATTGGCTGACTGCTACCTGGCTAGGTACAGTTAACCCCTTGATCCCCAGGTTGCTACCCATCCCTCATGAGCATGACAGATGGTATGTCCACATCCCCTATATGGTTTTCCCTGGCAAGGGAGCCCACCAGAACCAGACTCAAAGGAGCAAGTTGTAGCACTGGAGTGGATGGTACCAGCGGGTCTTTGGCTCCAAAGGGTGTCCCAGTATGGGATGCACTCCTTTAGATTTAGTCACTTTTGGAGTATGTGACCTGCCTTGTGCATATACTATCCGACTGGCACTGCTGATTGTGCAGGCTTACTTGACTAGGATACAGGCTTCTTTGTGGGCATTACCTGTACAGGCATATGTCAGGAGATTATTATGTTGTCGGTGCACACCTTCACTGCACACTATACCTGTGTCTTCCAGACCAGGGATGATGCTGTCTGAGTAGTCTTGCATCCTTCTTATTCATGATTACTACCCATCTCTGTGTGGACACTGTTGGTAGTCTCTTGTTGTGCAATGGACATGAGCAAGCACTCCAAGAAGAAAAGACAGTTACCTGTTTGGTAACTGGTATTCTTTGTGATGTTTTGCTCATGTGCATTCCACATCCTGCCCTCCTTCCCCACTGACAGTCTCTATCAAGAAGGAACTGAGGGTGGGAGGAGCATGCATTGCTACATATATTTATAGCATGGAGACAGCAATCCAGGGGTCACTAGAGGTGTTCCCCTGTGGGTACTGCCAGGAGACAAAACTTCCAGCACCAGTGCACATGGGGAGCATGCACACTTATTGTGGAATGGATATGAGCAGCAAATCTTGAAGAACACCAGTTATGGAACAGGTACTTGTCTTTTGCAGAAGATTTTAGCTGTTGTTTCATTTTGTGCCACAGTGTGAAGAAGCACAGAAAGCCCTAGCCTTCTCTAATGACCACTTTTTATAATGACCCCCAAACTTTCAGAGTGTTTAACCTTTTGTTTCTTCTGTTGACCTCGTACTGTGTACAGTAGCTCAGTCAACTTAATGCTTTACAGAGGCAGTCCTTCTGGTCTATCCGGGAGCTCCCTTCAGAGCTCATTGACACACTCCTTAATTACTATTCCTTGTTCATTCACACTGTGCACACAGGCTAAAAAGGCTACCACAGCAGTACTCCAAACTCCTTCCAGTCTAGAGAGATTTTTATTAATCAGTCATTAAACAGCCAACCCAAGTTTATATGAAACTTAAACAGAACTGTTAAGAAAATTCTATAGACAATATAACTTAGCAGAGCTGTAGAGCACTGAAGTGCTGTTGTCTGAAACATCACATTGTAGTACTGAACTGAACTGCAGACAGGTGCTGGGAGAGTTTGTAATTCAAATGAGTGCAGTTAAAGGAAAGCAGTTTTTTCAGAGAATCTACCTCTTCACTATCTTATGGCAATTATTAGCACACCATGGTCACTCAAGTACTCTGTATATTGCCATAGTTGGAAGCAAGACCTTTCAATGACTAAAATGAGTTTCATGAATATATCTTAAGGATGTCACTGTGATATGGTATCAGCTATGCTGCTACTTAAAAAAAAAATCTGCTAATGTGTTTGCTACCGAGTAACTGGTATCATTTTATCAATTAAAAATAAGTCTCTCCAACTTGAATTTTTGTATCTCTAAAGCTCTGAACTTTTTGAATATTTAAAGGTTTTAGCCCTTCAGCTTCTTGAACATGAAGGTACTCTTTCACAACTTAACCCTACTGCACATGCAGGCACACATACAAATGCGCACACATCAATGCAATCATCCATCTCTTTCCTTCCCCTCTTTTCTCCTTGTACCCCTAGTTAGAAAATAATTTCGTTTTTTCCCCCCACCATAGAAAATTTTGACTAAAAAATTAATTGTAATAAAAAATTGACTTTTCAGTAGAAAAAAATGTAAACTTTTGGCTGAAAATTTTAAATTCAGAAATGTCACCATAGTGACAGTGAGTTGTAGTTTGGCTTCCTCTTGCCTTCATTCTCCTTTATGGGCTGGACTACATCTCCCATAATCTACCATGAGCTGTCTTTCTGATGCACTACTGCAGCGCCTCATGGAAAATATAGTGGGGAGCTCAACACACAGAGGAGAAATGGGACCTGAACTATAATTCCCATAAAGCACCAAAGCTGCATTTCCAAACTGAAAATTTCTGATTATTTTTGTGGTCAAAATACTCCCCAAAAAACCGACACTTTTCACAATATTTGTTTTGTCAAACAAATTCTATTAAACCAATTGATGTACATTTCTCAACCAGCTCTGTAGCCCAAACTAATTTAATAGAATCCTAGGGCTGGAAAAGACCTCAGGAGGTCATCGAGTCCAGCCCCCTGCCCAAAGTAGGACCAGCCTTAACTAAATCATCCTAGTCAGGGCTCTGTCAAGCCAGGACATAAAACCTGTAGGGATGGAGTTTCCCCCACCTCCCTAGGTAATCCATTCCAGTACCTTCACCACCCTCTTCCTAATATCCAACCTAGACCTTCCCCACTGTAACTTGAGACCATTGCTCCTTTTTCTGCCATCTGTCACTACTGAGAACAGCTTCTCTCCATCCTCTTTGGAACCTCCCTTCAGGAAGTTGAAGGCTGCTATCAAATCCCCCCTCACTCTTCTCTTCTGCAGACTAAATAAGCCCAAATCCCTCAGCCTCTCCTTATAAGTCATGTGCTCCAGCTCCCTAATCATTTTGGTTACCCTCCATAGGACCTTTCCAATGCATCCACATCCTTTCTGTAGTGGGCAGCCCAGAACTGAATGCAGTGCTCCAGATGTGGCCTCACCGGTGCCGAATAAAGGGGAATAATAACTTCTCTAGATCTTCTGGCAATGCTCCTCCTAATGCACCCTAATGTGCCATTAGCCTTCTTGGCTACAAGGGCACATGGTTGACTCATATCCAGCTTCTCATCCACTGTAATCACCAGGTCTTTTTCTGCAGAACTACTACTTAGCCATTCGGTCCCAGCCTGTAACAATGAGTGGGATTCTTCCATCCCAAGTGCAGGACTCCACTTGAACCTCATCAGATTTCTTTTAGCTCAATCCTCCAATTTGTCTGGGTTACTCTGGATCCTATCCCTGCCCTCCAATGTATCTACCCCTCACCTTAGCTTAGTGTCATCCACAAACTTGCTGAGTGTGCAATCCATCCCCTCATCCAGGTCTTTAATAAAGATGTTGAACAAAACCGGCTCTAGAACCGATCTCTGAGGCACTCTGCTTGGAAGCAAACCACCAACCAGACATTGAGCCGTTGATCACTACTTGTTGGGCCCGACAATCTAGCCATTTATCCAACCCATATTTCCTCAACTTGCTTGCAAGAATACTGTGGAAGACTGTATCAAAAGCTATGCCAAAGTCAAGGTATATCTCATCCACCAACTTCACCATGTCCACAGAGCCAGTTACCTCATTGTAGAAGCTAATCAGATTGGTCAGGCATTACTTGCCTTTGGTGAATCCATGCTGACTATTCCTGATCACTTTCCCCTTTTCCAAGTGCCTCAAAATGGATTCCTTGAAGATCTCCTGCATGATTTTTCTGGGATGGAGGTGAGGCTGACAGGTCTATAGTTTCCTGGATTATCCTTCTTTCCTTTTTTAAAGATGGGCACTTCATTTGCTTTTTCCAATTGTCCGCGACTCTCCCAATCTCCATGAATTTCCAAAGGCTCTGCAATGACATTTGTAAACTTCCTCAGTACCATTGGATAGATTAAACCCAGACCCATGGATTTGTGTATGCTGAGCTTTTATAAATAGTTCTTTCTCCACCAAGAGCTGCCCACCTCCATCCCATACTATGTTGCATAGTGTAGTAGTCTGAGACTGACCTTGTCTGTGAAGACAGAGGCAAAAAAGCATTGAGTACTTCAGCTTTTTCCACATCATCTGTCACTAGGTTACCCCCCTCATCCAGTAAAGTCCCCACACCGTCCCTGATCACCGTCTTATTGCTAACATGCCTGTAGAAACCTTTCTTGTTACCCTTCACATTCCTTACTGTCTCCAATTCCAAATGCACTTTTGCCTTCCTGGTTGCTTCCCTGTATTCTCCAGCAATATATTTATACTCCTCCCTGATCATCTGTTCAACTTTCCATTTCTTGTAAGCTTCCTTTTTGTGTTTAAGTTCACCAAGGATTTTCCTGGTAAGCCACCCTAGTCGCCTACCACATTTGCTTTTCTTACTGTGCAATTTCTTCTCCCTAATTGCTGCCTCCAGTACTGCTGCCTCATTCTCTCTCTGACTCCACTGTATTCCCCACTTAACTCTTGCTGTTCTTTGCTTACTAGTCCAGGATAGAAAGCATATTGACCTACCCTACCTCCTTAGTCTGCTAAAGACAATCTCTCAAATCCCCACATTAGCTTTCCATACCTGCTCCTGGGAAAAAGCCAGTTTGCAGGCAATATCTAGTTTCCAAAGAACTGAGTTCTACTACCTGTGTGTAAAACTAAATCTCTTCTTCCTTTCCATTAGGCTCATGAAGCAGTGATTAGAGGACACTACCCTGCTCCTGAAGAAACCCTCCAGATCCTTGCTGCCTTGCGACTCCAGTATCTACAAGGAGACTACAGTCTCCATACCACCATCATGGAAATAGAAGAAGTCTATCCCTTACAAAGGCTAAAATCTCATATTATACAGTCTACTAAAATGTTTACCCCAACAGAGAGGATTGAGAGGAAGCGAGCCAGCTTTCTTGAAGGAACATTGAGGAGGAGTTTCCGGAGTGGTTCCATCAGTAAACAGAAGATGGAGGAGGAGCAGATGTTGGATATGTGGATCAAAGAGGAAGTCTCAGCTGCAAAGACTAGTGTTATCGACAAGTGGAAAAAATTTCAGGGAATGAACCAGGAACAGGCTATGGCCAAATACATGTATCTGATGAAGGAGTGGCCTGGCTATGGGTCAACGCTCTTTGATGTGGAGGTGAGTAAGACAGACGAAGCAGTCAGTTGCCAATTGGCAAGTTGCTACTATTCTAGACTACAAACTCAATGCCAAAGTGTCCCCATTGAATGTAACAATATATTACTTCAAGGAATAATACTCTCTTTCTCTTGGAGGAGAGAAGGCTGGCATAATATGAAGTATTTAGTCAAAAGGAACTCTAGTTATAATACCCAATGTAGACATGAATATGTCTATTAATGAACCATAATATTTTCTACAAAATCAAATAACTGCCTCCCATAAAAAAGTTGGCAAGATGAAGAATAGAAATTATTGCACAGAATATTAGATTACCTTTACTTGAACTGATTTAGGGAACACCCACTACCTCAGCAATAAGCATTTTTTTCAAGTTTTACCAACTGTTCATTTATACTCTTTCCTTCATTAGTGTAAAGAAGGAGGCTTCCCACAAGAACTCTGGTTGGGAGTCAGTGCTGATGCAGTTTCTGTGTACAAGCGTGGGGAAGGCAGGCCTTTGGAAGTTTTCCAGTATGAACATATCTTGTCCTTTGGGGCACCACTAGCCAACACGTACAAGATTGTGGTGGATGAGCGAGAACTACTTTTTGAGACCAGTAAGGTAAGTAAAGAGTAAGAGAAACTGTAGTACGTTTTTCTTGTTAATTTACAAATGACACTAAGCTAGGGGGAGAGGTTGTTACATTGGAGGGCAGGGATAGGGTCCAGAGTGACCTAGACAGATTGGATGATTGGGCAAAAACAAATCTGATGAGGTTCAACAAGGACAAGTGTAGAGTCCTGCACTTGGGACGGAAGAATCCCAAGCATTGTTTCAGGATTCAACAGAAAAGGACCTGGGAATCACAGTGGATGAGAAGCTAAATATGAGTGTGCTCTTGTAGCCAAGAAGGCTAATGGAATATTAGGATGCATTAGGAGGAGCACTGCCAGAAGTTCTAGCGAAGTTTATTATTCCCCTTTATTCGGGACTGGTGAGGCCACATCTGGGCTGCGTCTAGCCTGGCATGATTTTGCATAAAAGCGGCTGCTTTTGCGCAAAATCTTGCCGCCTGTCTACACTGGCCGCGAGTATTTGTGCAAGAACACTGACTTTGTAATGTACAAAATCAGTGGTTCTTGTGCAAATAGTCTGACGTTCCCACTCAGGGATAAACCCTCTTGCGCAAGTATTCTTGTGTAAGAGGGCCAGTGTAGACAGCAACGTTAATTAATTGCGCAAGAAGGCCTGATGGCTAAAATGGCATGGATGCTTTTGCAGAAAAGCAAATCTTTTGCGCAAAGGCACATGCCAGTATCAATGCTTTCTTACGCAAATACTTTTAATGGAAAAACTTTTTCAGCGGAGGGCAACCAAAACTATTAGGAGGCTGGAGCACATGACGTATGAGGAGAGGCTAAGGGATTTGGGCTTATTTAGTCTGCAGAAGAGAAGAGTGAGGGGGGGGATTTGATAGCAGCCTTCAACTTCTTGAAGGGAGGTTCCAAAGAGGATGGAGAAAGGCTGTTCTCAGTAGTGACGGATTGCCAAACAAGGAGCAATGGTCTCAAGTTACAGTGGGGGAGGTCTAGGTTGGATATTAGGAAAAACTATTTCACTAGGAGGGTGGTGAAGTACTGGAATGTGTTACCTAGGGAGGTGGGGGAAAACTCCATCCCTACAGGCTTTATGTCCCATCTTGACATGTACTCTGACTGGGATGATTTAGTTAGGATTAGTCCTGCTTTGGGCAGGGGGCTGGAGTCGATGACCTCCTAAGGTCTCTTCCAACCCTAGGATTCTATTATTCTAATCTCTCATTACTTTTTCCAGGTAATACTTTTAACTCAAGTATAATAGGGAGTCCCATGGCACCTTAAAGATTAACAGATTTACTTGGACATAAACTTTAATGGGCAAAGACCCATTTCATCATATGGGTTTTTGCCCACAAAAGCTAATGCCCTAATAAAATAAATCTTCAGTGGGGTAGTCGAGTTAGTCTGTAACAGGTAAAACTTAAAAAACAACAAATAGTCTAGTAGCACCTTAAAGACTAACAAAACATGTTAGTTGTTATTGTGAGCTTTTGTGAGTGCAACCCACTTATTCAGATGACTGAAGTATTAGAAGTCCAGATCCAAGATTAAATAAGGGAAAGGAGGGTGAGGGGGGAAAAAGAGAGAAAAAAGAGAGAGAGAGATTGAGTAGATGCTTCAAGTAGTTATAAGAGGCTGATAACCAACCAACCAAAAATGGAGGTGCTAATTGTTCTTAAGTCATTAGGATGTGGAAGGTAGTTAAATCATTTAACTGCACATCCACTAAGGTGATCTATTCCATCAAATGCCAGCAGTGCCCCGCTGCCATGTATATTGGCCAAACTGGACAGTCTCTACAGGAAAGAATTAGTGGACATAAATCAGATATCCAAAAAGGCAATACACAAAAACCTGTTGGAGAACACTTTAATTTGTCCGAACACTCATTAATGGATCTCCAAGTCTCCATGTTGTTTCAGGCCAATTCCACAAGCCAAATACACAGAGAAGGATTGGAAATTAACTTCATTTACAAATTTAATTCTTATGCAAATGGCATGAACAGGGACATCAGCTGGCTCGCAGATTACTTTCCATGAAAGCTCATGATACCATCTATGTGTTTTGTTAGTCTTTAAGTTGCGGCTAGATTATTTGTTGTTTTTTTAAATAAATCTGTTAGTCTTTAAAGGTACATCTACACAGCAGCGTTCTTTCAAAATAACTGAGATTATTCTGAAATAACAGTGCGCGTCTACACTATAAGCCTTTATTTCAAAATAATGTCAAACTGGAGGACTTCTTACACCGACTCATGGTAACCTTCATTTCATGAGGAGTAAGGGAAGTCAAAGGAAGAGTGTTCTTCCTTCAACTTCCTGATGTGTAGACAGAGCCAAAAGCCGAATTAAGATATTCGACTTAAGCTAAGTAATTGATGTAGCTCAAGTTGCATGGCTTAATTTGACTTTAGTGCTGCTATGTAGACGTACCCTAAGATTCTACAGGATTTCTCATTACTTTTAACTCAATTTTTAAAGATTTAAATACAGTTTTGTAGACTTTTTTTTTTCATCTAAAACACTGATTTTTAACAGTAGCCAAAGTAATTGTTGTTCTGTAGCAGAGGCATAGAGTCGAGGCAAAATAGAAATAGTGTAAAACATGGCTACTTAACTTTGAAAGACCTAGGGGCCACAATGATACTCACAGTACATGCCAAGGACCACAACTTAAGTGTGGTTGCATATACATGCAAAAATATATGCAAATTGTTTCTCTCACACTGATGGTCATTAATTACAAGCACTTCCCATGATGCCCCAGTGCTCCCGGCACCTCCTCCCTGGGGGCTAGTAACGCTGACACCTTGTACCCATCTGTTCCAGCCAGCCCATCTGCTTGTATCTTTCAATGCTCACCCCTCTGGGGAACGCCTTGCTGTTGTGGAGTGTGTTCACAGTGGAATCCATGTTCAGAGGATCCCACCCACGTGCCGCGTGTTGAGCCCTGCATAAACCCAAATGGCACCATGCGGGCCACGTATTGAGTAGCACTTATGTAGAAGTTACTAAGTTTATAAGTATTTGTGTTAACTAAAATTAAGAAGTTTTGGTAAGGGGTTAAATAGCGGAAGTCATACTGCTGTTTTATGTGCCTAGATGCATTATTGTATCATGCTAAAAGGTTTGGGTTATTTTTACTCTCTCGGCAGGTGGTTGACATTGCAAAATTGATGAAAGCTTATATAAGTATGATTGTGAAAAAACGTTACAGCACCTCTCGATCAGTGAGTAGCCATGGGAGTCAAAACAGCTCCAGATGAAAACAGAACCAGTCTCACTGTGCCATTATCATCAGAACATATCACTCGTGGCCCATTGATGGCCTGAAAATACTGATCAGAGTTGTCAACAAGCTACCCAAGAAACAGAATTTTTGGGAAAATTGCCAAGCAAAGCTTTTTCCAAGAGGCCTCTGTAAAATATCAACGTTAATAACAACATACTAAAAACTTCTGACTAACCTTCTTCAAAATTCTGAAGCTTTATTACTTTTAGATGACATATTGTATGCCTTAAAACTTAGTACACTGCCATTCAAGCAGTAAGAAGTGCCTTAAGATATTAAAACCACCTTGTATTTACATAAATTGTGTTGTTGGG